CTCACTCTCACTGCCACACTGCCTCACTCTCTCACTCACTCACTCACTCACTCACTCACTCTCTCACTGCCTCACTCACTCACTCACTCACTGTCTCACAAAAAAAAGAAAAAAGAAAAAAAAAGAATCCAGGACAGGATAACCCCCTCAGGAACCGTAATGGGAGTAGCGATACTATGTGGGTAGAGGGAAAGTGGGGAGAGAAGGGGGGAGATAGGGGGAACCACATTGATGTCTAACACCCCCCTAAAGGGGATAAACAACAGAAACGTGGGAGAAGGGAGACAGCAGACCGTGTACGGTATGAAAAGAATAATAATATATAATTGCTAAAGGGGTCATGCGGTGGGAGGGGGAGGGAGGGAGGGAGGGAAAAAGAGGAGCTGATCCCATGGGCTCAAGTAGAAAGAAAATGGCTTGAAAAGGGTGATGGCTACCTATGTGCAAGCGCGCTTGATGCACGTGGCGGATGGATTGTGATAAGAGCTGTAAGAGCACCGATAAAATGACTTTATAAAGAAGCAGCAGGCCTGTTCCGTCTGGCTGATGTGAGTCATGGGTCCTGAAGGGGCACCTCCCTTCCAGCTGTTCTCCCTACCCCGTTGACACTGACCCACAGAACTTCCCGCCTGCCATCCAGCAGGGTGGTGGCCAGGACAGCGTGTGGCTAAGTGAGCATTCCCAACATGGCCGGAAGACTCTCTGTGTGGCACAGATGCTTAAGCACTCCACTGCCCATCCCAAGGTTGGCAGTTCAAATCCATCCAGAGACGCCATGGAAGCAAACCTGGGTGATCTGCTTTTGAAAGATCACAGCTGCTGGGGACCCTTTGGAAGAGTGTCACTCTGAACCCTGAGAGAAACCAATTGTTCGCCTTCGCTGACTGCCAGGAGCTTACCAGCGCTTCTCAACCTGGGGGGTCACGACCCCTTTGGGGTCGAAGGACCCTTTCACAGGACAGAGGTCACCTGATTCATAACAGGAGCCAAATGACAGTGATGAAGTAGCAACGAAAATAATGGTGTGATTGGTGGGGGGTCACCCCCACATGAGGAGTTGTATGAAAGGGTCTCCGTCTGAGGAAGGCTGAGAACCACCGGGTTAGACCATTGATGCATTCGAATCATGGTGCTGGTGAAGAATATTGACTGCCACGGACTGCCAGCAGACAAGAAAACAGCCGCCTTGGGAGAAATCCAGCCAGAATGCTCCTTAGAGGCCAGGATGGCGAGGCTTGCTCTCCCATCCTTGAACACGTCCGAGGGAGGGACCAGTCCCCGGAGAAGGACGCCCTACGTGGTCAATCAGAAGGGGTGTAAAAGCACAAGAAGGATCGGCACAGTGGCTGCAACAATGGGCGCAGACATCAAGCAGCTGTGAGGCTGGCTCTGGAGTGGGCGGCGCGTCGTGCCCTTGGATGCCGTGGGTTGGTCGCGCTGCGTCGAACGAACTTGACTGCACTTAACAGCTGTGGCCGACGGCTGCTGCATTATTAGCACAGGCCTGGACGGCTGAGACACCTCAGGAAGAGAGGGCTGGCACGAAACAAACTGGGGTCCGATGGGGGCAGAGTCAGGCCCAAACACGCAAATCTCTGCTCCCTCTGCTCGGGGCATGGAGTTACGCAGAGGTCTCAGTGGCCAGAGGTCCTGTCTTGGGGGTCCGGGGCTTGGCATGAAACCAGGGGGCCCTACCAGTGGGTTTCTTTTTTCTCAGGCCCGGGCAGCCAGCTAAGCATGAGGGTTAGACTCTAGGCCATGAGTGTGGAAGCAGGTCAAGCATCCTTGCCTTTGTGCTGACCCACAGGGACGTGACCTCCCGTAGGGCCGAGGGAGATCTGGGGTCATGCCCTGCTTTAGCTGTTCCCAGCCCCCTCCTCTGGGAAGTGGCCCTGATGTGTCCCAGGAAAACAGGGGATCAGAAACAACCCCCTGCCCCCCCCCCGCCCCCCGTGATGGTACTTTGCCTCTGAGGTCTCCCTAAAAGGCAGAGAACCTGCCTTGTTGTGAGAGGGGAGCCCTGCTGACCACAGATGGGCAGTTCAGACGAGCAGCTCTTCCTCACGGCCTGCTCCTCTGCTTCATTTTTTCAAACAGCTCCGTGGGCGTATAATTCACCTAGCGTGCAATTCGAGAGTTCAGCCACATCAAGAGGAGTTGTACCAGCGTCACCACAACCAAGTCTTAGGACATTTCCTTCCTCCTCATACTCCCGAGGGCCACCAGCCCCAAGCTCCCCTACCACATTCCCCGGGGGACCATCCATCCAGCGACCGGCTCGGTAAGGCAGGTGGAGTCTTCCCCAGCCTGGGGAAGTTCTGTCTTGTCCCTTCGGCAGAGACCGATGACTACGACGGCCACCAGGGAGACATCCGATCAGCAACATTCAGCGAGAGCCTGACTGGGACACCTCAGCCTGGTCAAGTCACCCAGGGGCAGGGACTGTCCGAAACTCACGGTCAGGAGAAACCCAAGAAAGAACAATTGGACAGAACATGCCCTCCTGGGTGGGGTCCTAGGAAGAAGAAGGACATCAGTAGGTGAAGACAAAGAGCACCTCCCCCCAAACAAACTCCCTGCCCGAGAATTGATGCTGACTCATGGCGACGTCCAGGAGTGTGGAACTGCCCCTGTGGGTCGCCACGACCTTAACGCTTTACCGCAATCAAAGCCCCGCCCTTGTCCAGGAAAGCACAACCAGAATGATCCACAGCCTGCGGACGAACTGAGCAACACTGATTCGTGAACTGTGCCAAACAGACCAATCGTAACATCGGATGGTCAGGAGCCCTGGGAGCACAGGGGTTAAGCTCCCTGCTCCTCAAGAGGAAGATGAGGCCGTTGGCTTCTGCAGACAACACGGGTTCGGAAACGTTCCCGGGCAGTTCTACTCGGTGCAAGGGGGTCACTGTGAGTCGGAAGGGGCCCGACGGCCATGCCCTTCCTGTGATGTGTGAGACAGAGGGACAGCAGGTGGGGGTGGCAGTGGGGGGAGAGAATGGGAGAGCTCTCCAGACAACCACCTACTCAGGAGATCCACAGGCACTAATTAGAGTACGTGACGTGGCCTCCCCACCTCGGGGTCGCTGTGGGAGGAGGAGAGCACTCAACCGTGGCATGGGCCAATCCCAAACGGTTATACCTTGTAGAAGGCCTGGGCTAGGCAAACTCGCAGAGCAGAGACAGCAGCAGGTCAGTGGTTGTCAGGGGCTAAGGGAGGAGGGGTTGGGTGACTGCTCATGGGCCTGGGGCCCGCTTTCGGGGAGAGGAAAAGAGTTCTGGAAACTAGATGGGGACATCCTCCTGGGATGGGTGTAGGACATGTATACTTCAAAACGGCTGACGGTATGTGATGTGGAGTTGACCATTTTTTTTAAAAGGTGGGGTTCTATAAGCATTGGCGATCATGGTTTGACTCCTGACCGTTGTAACCCTTGCTCATCACCCAACAGGGCCCACCTGAGCCTTCGGCTTCCCAAGCTCAGGACCTCCTCCAAAGCCCACAATGGGGAGCGAGGAAGGTGGGGTGCCAGTTCTGTGGGTCGAAAGAAGGCCCTGGTCTCCCCCTCAGACCGGCCTCAGTTGGAGTCCCCTGGGCTCTGCCATTCCCCAGCTGTGCAAGCCTGGACAGGGACCTCGCCTCTCTGAGCCCGTTTCCTCCTGAGCACAGTGCAGACTGAGGGGGCTCAGCCCTGTGCCCCGAGGACGACAGGCCAGACAGGAGGCACCACTCCTGCCCCGCCCCTCCCCAGCCTCCCTGCTGTACAGTGAGGCGGGCTGCCTGGGCCTCCCAGTGAGGATGCTGGCGGGGGGGCAAAAGTGTAGACCGCCCCTCCCCTGTCCCTCCCAGGTGCTGCTGACGCCGATGGCGCCCACTGCTTCCAGTGGCCTCTCGGGGCAGACTCAAGGCCAGCGGTGAGCGGCCAGGAGCAAAGCAAACACTCCAGCCTTATCTCGGGCTCGGATGACGGCGGCTATAAGGACGAGGCCACTGGCTCCTTCTTCCACTCACCTCCTTGGCAGCAGCATGAAGCTCCTGGTGCTGGCCGCTCTGCTCACAGGTAGGTGCCGCCCAGCTGGGCCCTCCATGTGGGCAATGGGGGCCACAGTCCCGGCAAATGCGGGGCTCCCCACAGGGCTTAAGACCCCCATTTGGGGCATTCGGGGGTTCCCTTCTCTTCCCTGTCCCCATGATGTCTTCTAAGTGCTCAGGTCCTCTGAGGAAGGCCTACGCTGCCTCTCCCTCCTCCACCCTGTCAAACTGAGCCACCTCCTCGTACCATCCCCCACCACCACCACATTGCTCCAGGAGACTCTGTCCAAGCACCCACCTCTGCCTGGAATCTTCTCACCTGGAATGTGTGACTCCCATTCTCCCAAAGGCACGTGGGCTCCAGGCGAGGAGGGGTGGGAAGAGCCTTCTACATCCTTTGTTGGGTGAATGGGGAAGTTCAATTGGAATCCCACCTCCTTGACACCAAGCGAGGCCTGTGGTTGAGACTAGGGACTGGGTGATCGCAGAGGCAGGGGCACTGCGACAGTGAGGGTGCACCTCCCCACCCACACATACACGTACATACCCACCCACAGAAACACGGACACATACCCACCCACACATACACATACATGCCCCCACATCAATAACATACATACCCACCCACAGAAACACAGACACATACCCTCCCACACAGACATATACATACCCACCCACAGAAACACAGACACATACCCACCCACACAGACATCTACATACCCCACATCAATAACATACATACCCACCCACAGAAACACAGACACATACCCTCCCACACAGACATATACATACCCCCACATCAATTACATACATACCCACCCACAGAAACACAGATACATACCCTCCCACACAGACATATACATACCCCCACATCAATAACATATATACCCACCCACAGAAACACGGACACATACCCACCCACACATACACATATATGCCCCCACATCAATAACATACATACCCACCCACAGAAATACAGACACATACCCTCCCACACATACTCATACATACCCTACTCATACATACCCACCCACACATACATATACATGCCCCCATATCAATAACATACATACCCACCCACAGAAACACAGACACATACCCTCCCACACATACACATACATACCCACTCACACATACATATACATACCCCACCCATATATACTCATACATACCCACCCACACATACATATACATACCCACCCACAGAAACACAGACACATACCCACCCACACATACACATACATACCCACCCACACAT